ATGTTACTATGTCTGGTGTACTTCATGTTACTATGTCTGGCAGTACTTCTTTCAATGTTGACTCGCAGTCTGGGTACTTCATGTTACTATGTCTGGTTGTACTTCATGTTACTATGTCTGGCTGTACTTCATGTTACTATGTCTGGTTGTACTTCAGTTACTTGTCGGTGACTTTGTTATGTACCCTTTATGTTACTATGTCTGGTTGTACTTCATGTTACTATGTCTGGCAGTACTTCATGTTACTATGTCTGGTTGTACTTCATGTTACTATGTCTGGTTGTACTTCATGTTACTATGTCTGGTTGTACTTCATGTTACTTACTATGTCTGGTTGTACTTCATGTTACTATGTCTGGTTGTACTTCATGTTACTATGTCTGGCAGTACTTCATGTTACTATGTTGGCAGTACTTCATGTTACTATGTCTGGTTGTACTTCATGTTACTATGTCTGGCAGTACTTCATGTTACTATGTCTGGTTGTACTTCATGTTACTATGTCTGGCAGTACTTCATGTTACTATGTCTGGGTACTTCATGTTACTATGTCTGGTTGTACTTCATGTTACTATGTCACGGTTGTACTCATTTACTATGATGGTTGACTTATGTTCTATGTGGGTTGTACTTCATGTTACTATGTCTGGGTACTTCATGTATTTCTATGTCCTGGCAGTACTTCATGTTACTATGTCTGGTTAGCTTCAAGTTACTATGTCTGGGTACTTTTACCTTTTTTCATATTCCCGGTGTACTTCATGTTACATGTCTGGGTACTTCATGTTACTATGTCTGGGTACTTCATTTACTATGTCTGGGTTGTACTTCATGTTTAACTATGAGATCTTCATGGGTTTCATGTCTGGGTTTTCTTCTGTTTATTTCGGGAAATTTATGTTTACTGTCCTGGTTTTACTTCCATGTTACTATGTTTCTGGTATGTACTTCATGTTACAATTGTCTGGCTACGCTTCATTTACTATTCTTTTTCATGTTACTATGTCTGGCAGTACTTCATGTTACTATGTCTGGCAGTACTTCATGTTACTATGTCTGGCAGTACTTCATGTTACTATGTCTGGTGTAATTCATTTATTACTATGTCTGGGTACTTCATGTTACTATGTCTGGGTTGGACTTCATGTTTCTAATGAAGGGTACTTCATGTTACTATGTTTCGGCATAAATTCTCATTTTTCTATGTCTGGATACTTTATGTTACTAAAAGTCCGGCAGTACTTCATGCTTTCTATGTCTGGTTGTACTTTATGTTATAGTTGGCAGACTTCTATGTTATATTCTCAACACTTCTGTTACTATGTCTGGTTGTACTTCATGTTACTATGTCTGGCAGTACTTCATGTTACTATGTCTGGCTGTACTTCATGTTACTATGTCTGGTTGTACTTCATGTTACTATGTCTGGCTGTACTTCATGTTACTATGTCTGGTTGTACTTCATGTTACTATGTCTGGTTGTACTTCATGTTACTATGTCTGGCTGTACTTCATGTTACTATGTCTGGCTGTACTTCATGTTACTATGTCTGGCTGTACTTCATGTTACTATGTCTGGCTGTACTTCATGTTACTATGTCTGGCTGTACTTCATGTTACTATGTCTGGCTGTACTTCATGTTACTATGTCTGGCTGTACTTCATGTTACTATGTGGCTGTACTTCATGTTACTATGTCTGGCTGTACTTCATGTTACTATGTCTGGTTGTACTTCATGTTATTATGTCTGGTTGTACTTCATGTTATTATGTCTGGTTGTACTTCATGTTATTATGTCTGGCTGTACTTCATGTCACTATGTGGCTGTACTTCATGTCACTCGCTATGTCTGGCTGTACTTCATGTCACTATGGCTGTACTTCATGTCACTATGGCTGTACTTCATGTCACTATTTCTGGTTGTACTTCATGTCACTCACTATGGCTGTACTTCATGTCACTTTTGCTGTACTTCATGTCACTATGTCTGGCTGTACTTCATGTCACTCACTATGGCTGTACTTCATGTCACTATGTCTGGCTGTACTTCATGTCACTATCTCTGGCTTTACTTCATGTCTTAGGAAGGGTAAAGATTCTTATTTCCGTTTTGGTCCTTCAATTATGTCCCCCAGGATGCGATCCTAAGCAGTGGACTAACACCCAGGTACCTACTTGCTAGGAGAACGGGGAACAGCCGGTGATCGAACCATGGACACTTCAGTGTGTGAGGCGAGAGCGTTGCCTACCAGGCCTCATGGTAGAGTGCAGTTATTAAGTAAATAATGGGCGTAGACCAGGAACATCCGTACAGGATGGGGACACGTCACGGACGCGTCGTTGCGTACGTGTTCGTAAACGTGGTAAACCTTTGTTTTGATATATATTTTACTTATATCATTGTTTCTTTATTTTCTTAGCATCAAAGATGTGTCGGTATTTGAATATTTTCATTGAAATTAAATGTCACGAGCTTTTCCCACAAGAAATTCCACATGACATAAAAGTCCCATGAAACATCCCACAAGAGGCCAGCTTCTCACCCACTCAAAAAAAAAAAAATAAATAAATACTCACACAGACTTCATGGTATAAAAAAAATTAATGTCCTGGTACAAAAGTTCCCACACTGGGTCATTCTTCCCACAATTTTCGGGAAAATTCTCAGAAAATGGCATATAACTAGACTTAATTTTGATTTCAGTCATTTATCTTGATGCCGAGGCTAATATCAGCAGAAATATTATTCATTAGGTTAGGTTAGGTAAGGTTCGTCAGGAAACAGGACAAATGTTTCCTGACGCGGGTCTTAGTCAGATGATGACCCGCCTTTGGAGCTTTTGGTCATCTGACCGAGGCCTTCCGCTGGCTTACCGGTCCACCCCTTTAAAAATTATGGTCATTTATAACCAGTCTGTCTATATAAAAAAAATATTATTCATTAATTACTCAAAGCATCAATTTCAAGGCAATCTTGAGTACCTTTTAATCTGTTTTAATTAATATGACGTCACTCGCTCCCTCTGATTGGCTCGACTCTAAAGCTACCTCTGACGTCATAGGTTTATGATCCAATCATATTTTTCAGTGATATTTAACGAATGCTTCTCAAAACACAAAAGAAAAATTACTGCTCCATCATATATGATCAGACTAGTTATTAATATTGACTGAAAAATAAACATTAATAAAAAACGAACAATAATGAAAACATGGAAATATATTTCGTAGTTTACTTTGAATATGTTAGATTAAGTTAGGTTAGGTTACTATATGTTAGGTTAGGTTAAGTTACTATATGTTAGGTTAAGTTACTACATGTTAGGTTAGGTTAAGTTACTATACGTTAGGTTAGGTTAAGTTACGTTAGGTTAGGTTAAGTTACTATATGTTAGGTTAGGTTAAGTTACTATATGTTAGGTTAGGTTAAGTTACTACATGTTAGGTTAGGTTAAGTTACTATATGTTAGGTTAGGTTAAGTTACTATATGTTAGGTTAGGTTAAGTTACTATATGTTAGGTTAAGTTACTATACGTTAGGTTAGGTTAAGTTACGTTAGGTTAGGTTAGGTTAAGTTACTATATGTTAGGTTAGGTTAAGTTGCTATATGTTAGGTTAGGTTAAGTTACTATATGTTAGGTTAGGTTAAGTTACTACATGTTAGGTTAAGTTACTATATGTTAGGTTAGGTTAAGTTACTATATGTTAGGTTAGGTTAAGTTACTATATGTTAGGTTAGGTTAAGTTACTATATGTTAGGTTAGGTTAAGTTACTATATGTTAGGTTAGGTTAAGTTACTATATGTTAGGTTAGGTTTAGTTACGTTAGGTTAGGTTAGGTTAGCATAGGGTAGATTAGCTTAGCTTAGGTTAGCGTAGAAGGAAACCAAATGCTGAATAAACGCCAGGCCTAAAACCTGGTATATATCTTAAGCCCAGAAAATAATTAAGCGTAGGGATAAAGGGGAGGCACAAAGGGGACTGATAAAGGGTTGACATAAATGACAGGCATAATGGGTAGGCATTAAGGGTAATCATAAAGGGTTTGCATAAAGCTGAGGCACAAATGAAAGGCATAAAGGGAAGAAATAAAGGGTAGATGTAAAGGGTGGCATGAAGTGGAGGAATAAATGAACTGCATAAAGGGGCGGCACAAAGGGGAGTGTAAAGTTGAGGTAATGGAACCCAGGACTGATGGGAAGGTTCAATTTCGTTTCACTTGAATAACTATAGTTGGGCGCCGCCCACGAAATTCTGTCACAACAAAATACAAAAAAACGTATGCATATGTATGCGTACGCGTTACCGTGTTTATGTATGTCTGCATATGTATGAATGTACAGAAGTCTTTTTTATTTGTATACATACGCATATGTATGAATTAATAACTATCCTGTGCATATGTAATGTGTGTATTTGTTTATGCATGCGTGTCTGTCTACGTATGCATGCGATTATGCGTTTGTGTATTCTTGCGTATGTGTCCCTATGAATACATGTATATATGTATATGTGTGTATATATAAAGGAATAAGTTTTAATGGCATGAAAAAAAAATCACTTGGTAATGTTTATGGGGCGATTTGTGCAGAGTTATTTCCAAACAATATAAATTCTGAGCCTAAAAAAAAATATTTTTTTTTTAGCGGATTTGTTCCCCGTTCATATCACTGCAACTAGTAGAGTGATCGTAATGAAACTCACGATATATTTTACTCTGGAATAACATATAATGTACCATAGGGTTTAGAAAATAAAAATATATTCAAAATTCGGATTAATATTTATTATTGATAGAATGAGCAAATTAGACTTAATAATTCGCACTAAAACGTGGACTTGTGGACTTGTTCCTGTGAAGACGTGACTGGTGTGTTGTCCGTTCTTAGCTACCTGAGATTATGATGGCTTCCCTCGACTACGAGCAGCTACAGTTTTTATCTTAAGGCAGAGTTAATGGTGGCGAAAAGAGAAATTCCACGTCGTGGATGATCGGACCAACGAATGAATGCTAGTGGGAACTGAAGAGACGAAGCTGAAGATGAGGAAGGTCCAGATGACTGGTGTAAAGACCAGCAACTCTTTTTCCTTGTTATCAGAAGAATGTGAATCGCCCATCCAAGACCTCCCAACAAAGACAGTTCGACCAAGGACCAGTGTTAATGACACAGCGAAGCCAGCCAATGAAGTCATCCCAGCGAAGATCATTTCTACAAAGACCGTCGAGAACGTCATGCGAACACAGTTAATGGAGGTAATAACATTGCTTTAGTTGAAGACAGGTTTAGTTTATGGAGAGAGCTTTTAGTCCTAGAGATAGAAAAAGGAGGCAGAGGGTGTGTGTTCCTGGGGCTGGGATGGAGGATATTGTTAGCTGTCTGAACATCTTGAGAAGTAATGGATGCAATCTTTCATCTGTGTCAGTGCTCGAGGCAACGATGTTGGCAGGTGTAAGAGTGTGGACCTGATTAATAGGTACAGGTCAGTGATAAACATATTTAAGACGGTAGGGAGCCCTCTAGTATATAGCATTTTGCCAAGGAAGGAAGCTGGAAATGAAAGGTTGTCCAGGGCAACTGATGTTAACTGTTGGCTGGACAAAAATTGTGAGGACAATGCAGTAACATAGATAATTGAGACCTCTTCTATGGCTGAAATGATGTGTATGCTATGGATGGTGTTCACTTATCTAGGTCTGGTGTGGGGGCACTGGCCAATGTATGGGTTTTTGTGGAAAAGTAATGAACTAGAATAAATTGGAAATGGGCAGGATGAATTCTCAGTGTAGCGATATTGGTAGCTTTAGGGAAACCAGATATAAGAAGAACGAAGTAGAGTTATTGGCGAATATTCTAAAGTCAGTTGCACTAGGTGATAAGAATAATAATAGAGATAGTGGAGGAGCAGGAATGAACAAGGAAGCAAAAAAAAGAAGATAAGGTTTCTAAATATATATTATACAAGCAGTTGTAGTGCTAGACACAAGATGGGTGTGTTGAGATTAGCTGCATGTGCGGGTAGCACTGACGTATTTGCCATAACTGAGACATGGATTGATATGAAGAATCGGGACATGCCTGCTGAATGTCGCATTCAGTAAATAACAAAAGAGGCACAATACCGTGACTGGAACGATACACAAATAACCCGCACATAGAAGAGTTATCTGTGTTATTTGCAGGTTATTTGTGTGTCGCATTCAGGGTTATAAGTTTTTCCACATTGACAAAAAAAAGGGAGAGGGAGGTGCATGTGGCGTTATTTGTCAGAGAACACTTAAATTGCTTTCACACTTAAATTGCTTGCAGAAATGATGACCGCAAAAACGCATGTGTTCAACATAGAGACGATGTTGGACACCTCATGAAATTCAATGAAGCTAAACTAGTTATTAAAGAAGACGACTTAAGACGGAGAAAATGCATTGAAGCTGCACTAATTTCTGTCAGTAACACTATAAAGCAAAAATCCGGTAGTTACAGTATTTCAAAATTACTAAGCAAGAGGATATTACCCATCCTGGGAACTGGTGTTACTTGATGCCAGCAGGTCCCTCTCTAGCCTCACCTCCTTAGTTCCATTACTACTACTACTACTACTACTACTACTACTACTACACCTCTACCCACGCATCACCTCACCTGACTCCCGCCACTATATATGTGTGTGTTTTCTTAGTTTTCTCTGTATTAGGACTGAAGAAGCCACTCGTGGCGAAACGTTTCCTTTAATAAATGTCCTGAACTGTACATAAGTGTCTTTTTCCACACTTAAATTGCTGAATAATTGTGGGTATTAAAACTGAAAGAACACACACTGAGTTTGAAGTGAAATTTGAGTGGGGATCATTAACAAGTGGCCTTCTACAAGAATCAGTTTTGGGCCCATTGTTGTTCATAATATGCATTAACGACCTTGGCAAAGAAATAAGAAGTGATATGATTAAATTCGCTAACAATACAAAAAGAAAACCAGGATTATTGACTCAGAGGATGATGCCACCGTTCATCAAGAGGATTTAGACCACTTATGTTATGGTCTGAAAAGTGCCAAATGAAGTTCAGTTTGAACAAATGCAAAGTCCTGAAGCTCAGAATGTAAATAACTTAAAAAGTAAATAATATACAGCTTTGCCAGAAAGAATGTGAAAATGACTTAGGAGCCATGGTAAGCAAGAACCTGAAGCCAAGACAGCAATGCCTAAATGTATGTAATAAGGCAAACAGATTATTGCGATTTAAATGAAGCATAAGCACCAGCAGTCCAGACGTTATACTATAGCTCTACACATGGATTCAATTTCAGCTCCACACATCCACACACCTCTTCTTGGTAAAGTGGCACATATAACAGGGCTCTCGCTTTCTTCCTAATTATGTCTTTGTCTGTCCTATACTTTCTAACTATATCCTCACTTCTGCACTTGCCTACATCATTGTTGTCAATCCAGCTAACAATATCCTCCATCCCAGCCCCAGGAAAGCACACACTATGTCTCCTACTTCTATCCTTGAAGCAGAAAGCCCTATCCATGTACCTAATCCGACTGTACCCAACAAGGACAATGTTCCTACCTTCCTCGGTGTTCTTGATCGTGACGATGCCATTAGTTACGCCACATTCGTCGGGAAGCACAGAAAATGGGTTCGAAGTTTTCACAGCAGTCTTCTGGTTTTTCAGCGTTTCTATCACTCCATACGTCCTCTTGATTCTCAGCTTCGTTCCATGCTGCCCGGCCACTGTCCAGGTTTCTTTCTTGATTTGAGGATTTACAACAGGAGGATTAACTACGAATCTTCTCGTTTTCCTCAGTCTATCGAGCTTGACCCTTGGCTCCTCCTTAAGCTGCTGAGAGAGGTGTTCAGTCGATGACATCTTGGTTCAGTTTCACAGAGAACACGCTAGACATATCTTCATATGAAGACCTGAACTGAGCTGCATGAGTAATTCTTGGCCAGAGTCATTCTTGGGTTTGTGTCCCAAGTTTCTAATACTTGTGGAGATGGTGGATATTTTAACAAGATTTTTTGTCAAGAATTTTACAAACATTAGTTACAATGTTGCTGAGGATGTTGAGAATGTGCATGTCGCATGTTTCCTGCAATCACATATGAAGTGTAAGGGAACCGTGATGACAGTGGAAGCGCGTGTGTTCAACACAGGGACGATGTTGAACACCTCATAAAATTCAGTGATGCTAGAATAGTCATAAAGAAAGAAGATTTAAGGTGGCGAAAGTGTATAGAGGCTGCCCTAATTACTGTCAGTAACTCTATCCATCAAAAGTCCGGAAGTTAAACTATTTTCAAATTACTTATCAACATTATATTACGGGTTGCTGGTGTTGATGTAGCAAACCCTCTCGACGTTGCCATTGAACTTGGCATACATCTGGTCCGTATTTCCCGAGGGCTCCATCTATGCCCCTCGTTTCTTTCCTCAAAGTCTGCCAGAGAGTTAGTACCCTTGAACTTTTCTTCTCTCAGAGAAGAACAGTATAATGTGCCTTTTACACTTCAGGAACTGGAGGCAACACTCTCAGCTTGCCGATCATCGGCAGCTGGGCCTGACGACATTCATATTCGTATGTTACAACATTTACATCGGTCAGCCCTTGTAGTCCTCTTACACCTCTTCAATCTTATTTGAGCACAAGGAGTTCTTCCCCAGCTGTGGAAATCTGCCATTGTTCTCCCTTTCCGCAAACCGGGTACTACAGGACATGATGCCTCCCACTATCGTCCCATCACTCTTACCAGTGCAGTTTGCAAAGTGATGGAACGTCTCGTAAATCGACGTTAATGTGGTATTTAGAGACACAAGTCTCTCCGCTAGTCAATATGGCTTTCGTAAGGGTCGTTCTACCATAGACCCCTTACTATGCTTGGATACGTATGTTTGTAATGCCTTTGCGAATAATCACTCAGTTATTGCCATATTTTTTGACCTTGAGAAGGCATATGACACAACTTGGAGGTATAATATTTTGGCCCAGGCCCACTCCTTAGGCCTCCGAGGCAATCTACCATCCTTCCTTAAGAACTTTTTAACTGACAGACATTTCCGTGTTCGAGTCAATAATGTGCTCTCCCCAGACTTTGTCCAAGCTGATGGTGTCCCTCAGGGATGTGTTCTAAGCACAACACTTTTTCTCCTTGCTATAAATGATTTGTCCTCTGTTCTTCCACCCAATATTTGGTCATCACTCTATGTTGATGACTTCGCTATTGCTTGTGCAGGCGCTGACTGTCACCTTATTGCAGTTTCTCTCCAGCATGCGGTCGACCGTGTTTCCACTTGGGCCACCACGCATGGGTTTAAATTTTCAAGTACCAAAACTCACCAAATTACTTTCACTAGACGCTCTGTTATCTCCGATCATCCTTTGTATCTCTATGGCTCCCGTATCCCCGAACGTGATACAGTCAGGTTTCTAGGCCTTTTCTTTGACCGTAGGTTATCCTGGAAACCTCACATTACCTCTCTGAAGGCAACTTGTCACAGCCGGCTAAACCTTCTTAAAACCCTTGCTCATCTTTCCTGGAGAGCTGATCGTCGAACTCTGCTTCGCCTACATTCAGCCCTCGTTTTATCGAAACTCGATTATGGTGACCAGATTTATTCCGCGGCCTCTCCTGCTACTCTCTCTAGCCTTAACTCTATCCATCACCAAGGATTACGTTTGTGCCTTGGTGCTTTTCGCTCTTCCCCTGTTGAGAGCCTCTATGCAGAAGCGAATGTTCCATCCTTGTCTGATCGCCGTGATGCCCATTGCCTTCGCTACTATGTACGCTCTCACGATCTCCACAATCCTTCCATTTATAGAATGGTCACCGATATTAGTAGACATTCTTTATTCGTTCGCCGCCCCTGTTTGCTCCGTCCCTTTTCTCTTCGCCTACATTCACTTTTGTCTTCCCTTCAGTTACCACCTTTATATGTTCATGTAGCATCTCACTTTTCCCTACCCCCCTGGGAAGTTCCAGCTGTTCGGGTCTGTTCTTTCTCACTCCCTTGGTCGAAAGCTCAACTGCCTACGGTGGCTTCCCGCTCTCTTTTTCTTGATCACTTCCACTCCCATTCTCATGCCACCGCTGTGTACAAAGATGGCTCTAAGTCTTCAGACGGCGTCGGATTCGCAGCAGTGTTTCCGGACAGCGTCGTGCGGGGGCATTTACTATCTTCGGCTAGCATTTTTACTGCTGAACTGTATGCCATTCTTGCAGCACTTATTC